TTCCATATTGCACTTGTGAAAATAGATTCAGAATCACGGGAGTCCAAACTGTAGGGCTATCGTATCCGAAAGAAGCACGAAAAGCAAGCTGCAGTTTCTGGCGACTCTACTGGAAAATTAGAGAACTTGACTCGAACTGCATGATGTGAAATTTTATCTACACTTATATGTTCTTTGCATTGCATTTGCATTGGTATGCTTAAGTCACTATGTTTGCCATCTATTATTCCTGGATGATTTGCCGGAGGCTTGCCCAAAAGCTTGCCAAAAGGTTGACCGGTCGTGGGTTCTGCCATGTTGGGAACACAATCCTTGGATCTGGACTACCGTTGTACTATTTGATCGTCCTTTCACTTCTCGGTGTTAGGTGTGAGAGGTATATTAGGTAGTCTTGCTGAGGCACCCTCTTTGACCATTTTACCTAGCTGCATATAGTAAAACCATAGTGGCTGTTCCAAACTAGGACATGATGCTCACCTAAATGCAGGATTGCGTGAAACCCCGTGTTTAAAATAGTGAACCCTAGTCCATTGACAAAAAATAGGACAAGGTAACCTTATGGGGGGTGTTTTGGCTCTTTGTTAACTGGTATGCGTTTTACAATGAAATTGTGCAGGAGTGTACATACCGGTGGTACAGTTGGTATCTGTTTTGATGGGGCACAGAATTCAGTGTGGAATACAGTCCTACAGCTTTGATCATGTCTGTGTTGATAGCATCTTAGCTGAAGTGCTGTGCGATTTCTCATTGCTACTCTTTTGCTTTATTCCTTTTGCTAGGTAGTTTAAACCCATAGCTTCAGAAAGTTCAGATATACCCTGAATACTCTAAACCCGAGTTAGAAGACTTTGCAAAGCCGGGGATCTTGTTCGGGGACAACCCGTGTTTACCTCACTCTCACCGGTAACAAGATGGAGGAGAATCAGACAAAGTTCGCCAGTCCAATTCTTACAGCAATCATCTCTCAGTTCACCTGTGTTCAGTCTAGTTCAGGAACAGTCAGCTACTTCTAGTACAATCCCACTGGCAGACATCACTTTTAGAGCCGGCTGACTCTCATTGGAGCCCAGCCATACCTACTTGGAGCCAGCCGGCACTCAATGACTACCCAGATGTAGAGAAGGCAGGTTCTCACCTTGGTGTACTGGAGCTGTGTTTTGAGTCTTGTCTTGTTTGTATCAAGTGTCGTTTAGTGTTTTTAGGTTGTTTTTATTTTTTTTTCTGTCGAGTTGTATTTTGTATTTTGACCGGTTGTAACTTGTTATCCGATTCAAGAATCAATTCAAGAGCAAGCATTCACAGTTGTTAATAGTTGTGTACAAGATTATCGTGTCAGCTCCATTCATTCATCACATGTCACATCATGCAAGAGGACTTGTGCAAAATATTCTTTTCATAACTTGAGGGTTCACCCCCGATCATTGTTTTACAAAGACTAAAAACAAAAGAAAAGTCTTCAAAAAAAAAAGAAAAGAAAAGTGAATCATCAACCCATCCTGGCCCTCTTCCTCCTCGGTTGCGGAGAAGGTGCATCACTATCATCACTGGGGTTGCTAGACTGCAAGTCGGCATCCTCTCCCTCGTGCTTGGGAAGAAAGTATAAATCTCTGCCTGGGCCACAAGGTTAAGGATGTGGATTCGAGAGATAATATCACAGGACCAGAATAAGTTCTTGTGAAGAATGTCATCTCAAAAGACCTCAAAGGATAAATGGGAGAAAGCGGCAAGTAGAGTCTAGGCTCTATATTGTTAGTAAACAGTTGGAAGAATTGGAGCCTGGTATGGGGCAAAATGCTGGCTCTTGAAGAGGGTGAGTTCCAATTCCTCAATCTAGTTAGGATTTGAGGACAGAGAAGGAGCAGTTGGGTTCCCTCCAAATGACGGTGGAAACTCAGGCCTGTTCACACATTCCAGCCAATCAGAGGAGCAAAGTTTTGCTTTCTTGGCTAGGAGTATACGATTGATTCCCAAGGCTTCAACAGGGTGTGGAGTCCTTCGCACTATTCTGGACGGCAAGATGGAAGTATACCATGCCGAAAGTAAGTTGTCTTCAAGGATGCGAAGACAGTCGAAGGGGACATATGGATATATTACAGAACTACCCATGGAGGGATGAATTGCAATGAGATCATCAAATTCAGGAAATCGATAGTGGATTCATTCCTTTGTTTGAGGTTAAGTGGGTGTGGGCCAAGCATCCCAGCCAGTATGTCTAGAAGACGATGAAGCAGCTTCATCCCATACAGAGAGTTTTGGAGTAGATAAAGAACTTCCAAGATCCATTTGTGCAAATGTTTGGTCCAAAGGTTCATATGGTGCAAAAGCTTCCATAACTTGTATAAATTGTGGCAGATAAGTGTGGCCAATAAATGCATAAAGGTTCTTTCAAGGACAATTGTCATTATCAAATACCTCCCCGCATGCTTGATCAATGTAAAAGAATGCTTGATTGGCCATTGAAGGTGTATCCGTCTCCTCGTATTCGTAGCTAATGGATGGAATGGAAAAATATAATGAAGTTCAGTGCTTCATTTTTAAGAGGACGGTTATGTTTCAGCCAAGTCCATGCACGTCTTCGGACGTGGATAGAGTGCATTGATCTACTAATATCACCAAGTATTGGGTATATTAGTGCGAGGGGTAATGTTGGCTACATATTTTGTACAGACCAATCACAGCTTAACACGTGGCTCGAAAAGGGTAATTTAGGGAGTTAATGCAAGTCTCTAACCAGTGACAGACACGTGGCACTTCATATTGGTAATGGTAGGTCTGCGTCGCATAGAAGCAGTTAGAAGGCACGAAATGGCGCAGCTCAACGGTTTCTCACAATTCAAATTCAAATTAAAGAGGGTAGCCCAACTGCAATGAAGGCGTCATGGGAGCAGATTGTTCAGGGCCATAACCAGAGATCGTGGAAGTACATTTCGACGGTTGGAAGCCTATTTTGACGGTTACCATTGGGAAGTATAAATAGAGGAAAAGGCCTCAGAATGAAAGACTCAGACTTAGATCCATAAATCAGTTTATTACTTCATATTTCTTTCCAGTTTTTACATTTCTAGTTCTTTACATTTTTCAACACTTCAATTCCTGTACTACACTTCATTTTCTAGAAGTAGTTTCAAGTAGTCATTGCAGTAAACTTTTTCAAGGCTGGGTCATTTCATTGTAAGTTCTTATTTACTTAATGAAATTCAGTTTCTGAATTATTTTGTACTTGTTATTTCTTATCAATTTCTCCTAAAACAAGCCATCAGTAAAAATCCTCTTCATTGAGGTTGAAAGAATTTCAACACAATCGTCTGATAATCGGTTGGCAATTAAAATTTTGTAAGGACTGATTGATCCTTACTGGCATGCTTAAATTTACATTATTAACCCTCGAAAGCCAAAAAAACCAACAATGGTGTGTATTGAGATCTATTCTTTGTGTGTCTTAGAATAAAAAACAAAGATTATGGTGTGTTTTGAGTAAAAAATTAAAGATTAAAAATATCAAAAGTGTGAATTAACGATGTGCACTAAGATAATTTATGGTGCGCAAATTGTCAGATGTGATGGGAGTGATAATATATACTCTGCAATGAAGACAAATAACCTCTCGATACAAAATGGACTGTCCATGCTCCACAAAAGTAAAATAAAATAAAATCTAAGAATTACAATATAAAATTTATGCGTTTAAATGTTTTAGAGTGATTTTATAGTAAGATTATTATTTTTTTAAATAAAGTGACTATCATTATTGTACTCTTAATTTTTAGGAAAATTTGATGAAAAGTCTACTCTAGCAATTATTTAAGGCATTAGGTTTAGTGAATTTGTTTGTGAGAAGCCCACTATTTGTGAAATAATTTGGTGAAAAGTCTTTTTGTTTATTTTGAAGGATATTTTGTTTATAATTTTACTCCTTAATTTATCTGTTTACTTTTTTCTTATCTGTTGACTTTTGTTAACTATCTATTTAATTTTTTTCCCTATTTGTTCAAAAAATTTCATATCTATTTAGAAAATTTCATTATCTGTTCAAAAAATTTCCTATCTGTTCAATTTTTAACCCTATTTGTTTAATTTTTTCCCTTATCTGTACAAATATCTATTCAAACTTTATTATCTATTCAATTTTAATCTCTTATTTGTTGAAATATTTGTCCAGAATTTTAATTTATTACAATGTGTTTGATCATCATCATCAACAACAACAACAACAGAAGATTTGAGCCAAGAAAAAAAAATTAAACAAAAAAAAAACTTCATGCACAAAAGTAATTCAGCAATAATATTTATTTCTCAAAATGAAATTCGGGTATATATATATATTTATCATATTTGAATCCATATATATAAATTGATCAAGATTTTTCAAAAAAATATTAATCTGTTAAAAAGATTCCATAAAATAGCTGCGATGTTTGAAGGTGGAGACAATGGTGCTTCAGCAGAAGGAAGTGCTGCGTGACGAAGGATGGCGATCGGCGAGTCACGTCGCTGGATCAGCATTGTGAACTTGAGAGTATGTTCTTCGCTGCCGCTTCAACTGGATTTTGCAATGGTGTGAGACGACGGTGGTGGCGGGATCGCCGTTGGAGATGACGGCGATAGAGGAATGCGACGAAGTGAATGAGAGAGAGAGAGAGAGAGAGAGAGATGCTGAGAGAGAGGACAGAGAAAAGAGGAGATCGGCGCGCAAAGGAGGTTGACAATGGGTGGAGGAAGAGAGAGAGAGAGACAATGGAGAGATAAAAGTTTGGTTAGGGTTTGGTTTGGATAGTGAGAGAGAGAGTAGAAGGAAGAGAGCGAGCAGCGAGAGAGAGAACTGGTTAGGGTTTGGTTTAGAAAATAATAAATTAGATGGATAGTTTGATCATTTTGTAGAAAGATGTCCTTATGGACCCAATGAAAAAGCGCATGAACCTTTGGGTAAAGAAAATCTAAAAATCGATATATCACCCTAGCACTCTAATTTTTATAGAATTAAATTTTAATTATACAAAAAATTACATTAGAATATCCAAATTCGACTAGATAATGCCAACCCAATTAAGACAAAAGTAGCTGAAAACTAGCATTACAAAATTCATACAAAACTGGAAGAAATATGTAGAATTTGCCACACACAATTAACACCAAATCACAAATCTATGTTTTTATTTTATTTTAGGGCAAATTACATATACCCCCTCGAGGTTTAGCTAAATTACAGATACCCCATTGAGGTTTGAGAAATTATAAATTCCCCCTGAATGTTACATTTGCATAACAAATTATGGGGTAATTTATTATGAAATATAAACTTCAGGGGGCAAATTGTTATGAAAATACAAATCTCAGGGGGCGGGATGTAATTTCCAAAACCTCGGGGGTATTTATAATTTAGCTAAATCTCGAGGGAGGTATTTGTAATTTGTCCTTTATTTTATTATACATTATATTATATTATGTACTAATCACATAAAAGGCATCATCCACATGAGCAGCATATCTCAGATTAAATCAAAATGGAGGGGGGGGACCGAATGGGCCAGGAGGTCCAGGAGGTCCAGGAGGCCCACCAAACAATGGTCCACAGCAGCTCTCAAAGATGCAGCAGCAGCACAATATGTAAAAGCTGCCCAACACCAAACAAACAACAACCCCATATTAGCTGTATATCCAAATCCATTAAAAAAGAAAAAAGAAAAAGAAAAAAAAAAAAAAAAAAAACCCTTACCAGTATGTAAAAAAAAAAAAAAAAAAAAAAAAAACCCTTACCAGTATGTACTAATAAGTGAACTTATTGGCAAATAAATTCTATGACAATTAACAATAATTTTCATCAAACACTATTAAAAAAAGTCATTAATGGTTAATTTTCAGTGACAGTTTAAAAATTGTCACAAAAAATGTCACTAATTTATAACTATCAGTGACAATTTAAAAAATTCATCACAGAAAACGTCACTAATTGTAAGTTTTAGCGACAATTTATGAAAATTGTAACAAAAAAAAAGGCATTAATTGTCAATTTTTAGTAGCAAAAAAAAGTTACTAAGGCTACTTTTTAATAGGATTTAATGGGAATTAAATCTAAATATTAGGACCTATTGGTAGTTTACTCAAAAAAAAAAAAAAAAAAAAAAAAAAAACCATTACCAGTATGTACTAATAAGTGAACTTATTGGCAAATAAATTCTATGACAATTAACAATAATTTTCATCAAACACTATTAAAAAAAGTCATTAATGGTTAATTTTCAGTGACAGTTTAAAAATTGTCACAAAAAATGTCACTAATTTATAACTATCAGTGACAATTTAAAAAATTCATCACAGAAAACGTCACTAATTGTAAGTTTTAGCGACAATTTATGAAAATTGTAACAAAAAAAAAGGCATTAATTGTCAATTTTTAGTAGCAAAAAAAAGTTACTAAGGCTACTTTTTAATAGGATTTAATGGGAATTAAATCTAAATATTAGGACCTATTGGTAGTTTACTCAAAAAAAAAAAAAAAAAGTCAGACCAAAATATAAAATAAACTAAAAATCTCCCAACAGAGTTTATGTATGAATTTTTTTTTTTAAAAAAATAAATAAATAAATTGCGCCAATAAAAAGAAAAAAAAATCAGCTAACTTGATTATTTTTCTCTTGCTTAATAATCTTGTGGTTTCAAACCAAAATAAATATCTCGTGGTTTCAAAATAAAGATAAATAAAACTAATAAAAATAATAATAAAAGACAGAATACATAGGAGCCACATTTGCACCGTCTGATATCACGTTCAAATTATAAAGAAATGTTAAAAATTCATATTTTAAATTATTAAATTTACTTAGTGACAAGAGAGTTAGATTCTCAATAGTAATAGAATGTGTAATAAATCAAAAAAAATTCACCTATCATTGCCACATCATTATGATCTTATGAGAGTTAGATTCTCAATAGTAGTAGAATGTGTAATAAATCAAAAAAAAAATTCACCTATCATTACCACATCATTATGATCTTGTGAGAATTTTTTACCATGTCAAACATTTTCCATATTAAAAACTAGTTCCTGTACTGACCTGTATGCTAATTAAAAATACAATTTAGGTACCAAAGCAAGTATGCAATGCATTAGTCATAAATCACATTAATAATCTTCTAAACTGACATATATATATATATAAAAGCTTGTAGACAGAGAGAGAGAGAGAGAGAGATTACCAAGAAGATATGGCTCGGCATAAACCACCAAACAGAAAATCACAGCAGCCAGGCCCTCCCGGTGGCGGTCCCCAACCTGGAGGCATGTCTTTGTATAGAGAAGAGATCTAGAAATGCAATGAAGTGAATGAAGTTGAACCCAGGGGATGGTTCTACATATATAAAAAAACTTTGAGAGAGAGAGATTGTAGAGCTTAGTAGCGAAGCAATATCTTGAAACTTCGGGTATCATCTTTGACTGTTAAGTAAAAAAGCTAATGCCAAACAGTACTACTTTTAAGGCGTTTTCTAGTAATGTTTGAATGTACTAGTGCACCACCTACTGTTCGTTTCATCTTCCAACCTACTCTTCAAAGTTTTTTTTATTATCCATGCATTATCCTATGGGAATATGTTCTTTCTTAACTTGATCATCAACTAACCCTACTCTTGCTTCCTTCCTTCCTCCAACACTATTTAGGAGTTGTTTCACTTCACCTTCTTTATTTTTTTATACTTCTTTTAATAAAAAATAAAAAATTTAACTAAAGTAATTGAATAATATTAGAAATTTTAAAAATTTTATCAAAAACCAAATGCCTCACGTGAGTGTGGAACCTACACAATGTAAATCCATGTGGGTCTCACGCTTATGTGGGACATTTGATAAAATTTTTAATGAAATTTTTAGAATCTCTAACATTTTTAAAAATAATCACATCCCAAATGAATTCATTAGTGTAAACACATTAATCCTATAAAAATACGAGTGATTTCTCACATTAATCCTATAAAATAAATAAATAAATAAATTGACACTGGTCCGTAAACTCTCTGACATTTTCACTTTAATCCAATTACAAACTTCCGTATAAGGCGTAGTTTTGGAATTTCAAAAACTTAGGGTTCATTTGATTTAGTTTTAAAATTATAATTTGAATGTAAAATTGTATTTTAAGTTTTGAATTTTGAAAATAATCTTGAGATGATTTGTAATATTTTAAATTTTTTTTGATTAATTGATGTATAGAATATGAGAAAATGTGAGAGGAGAGATGAGAAAGAAAAAATGTTTGGTTGATTGATTGATAATAACAATAATAAAAGAGAATAAAATAATTTTGAAAGTAATTTTGAGTTGTATTTTAAAGGTACGTCTGGTTAACATGTTGCATCTGAATTATGATTTAAAAACAGAGTTGAGTTTTGAAAAGTAAACCAAATGCTACCTTAATTTTTCCCATTATTATTATTTTTTTTCAAAAATCTTTTCTTAATTCACACCACATGATTTTTAGGATAAATTATGCCAATAGTCCTTATAGTTTACATTATGTATTAATTTCTCTATTGTTTTAATTTGCTTGATTTACCCTTTAATTTAACTGATTGTATCATATTGATCCAATAAATAATTGCCGTTAGGTTTGGTGAATGGAAAGTTATCATATGCTCAAACGATGTGTCAATTTGGTTCCTGTAATTTACACGATATGTCAATTTGGTCCTTATTCTTTTAATTTGCTTAATTTTGACAGAGACCAAATTGACACATCGTATAAACTATAGGGACCAAATTGACACATCGTTAAAGTTTCTGTTTACCAAACCTAACTGCTATTATTTATTAGACTAATATGACATAATATGTTAAATTAAAGGAGCAAAATCGAGCAAATTAAAATAATATTGACTAAATTGACACATCATGTAAACTATGGGGACTATTTGCGTAATTTACCTTACTTTTTATAATGCCTTTATCTTCAATTTTATAATACTCGACGTCATTGGTGCTATTGCGAACATTACCTCCTTCATTCCTGATTGCCTTATTCCTAACCAAGTCTTTCTAGTCGCTCTTTCCAACTCGCAAACCCTCATTTCTAACCTTCATCGCCAACCCCAATCCCTTTACAATGCCCTAACACTGCAACTCACCACGATGCCACACTTTCAACGGACCCCATTCCCTTACGATCTCTCTCTCTCTCTCTCTCTCTCTCTCTCTCGTATTCCCTCTCCTCGTTGATTTCTATTTCTTACTTAGTTAAAGATATACTTGTTGAGTGTGAATGGAATTGCATAGGTCACGTTGGGATAGAGATCGCAACGGTAGGGGCTAAAAGAGTGAGGGATGTTCACCTGAGCAAGAGGTGGGTTGGGGGGGTTGCTAGAGATGAGGTCTTTTAGAGAAAGGTTGCAAGCATGTGGAAAGGTGACAGTATAACGCCCCCAAATAACAACAATAGATAATCCCATAAAGTACGCTAATTATGTGAAAACTAAGAAGATTTCATTCTTTCATTAATTTATCGATAATCATTACAAAAGGTACCACATGCATCATACATTCACAAACCTTAAATTCTATATCTATAACATGTGGCACAAGTGTAGACACCCAATTTTGACCGCATTTACGACTTGGGCGTTTCACTCTGAACACTCGATGATGAAATGTTATGCCGTGCAATCGTTCAAAATCTTCAGTAAAAGGATTCAGTTTTGAGCTTCAAAACATAAACCTTGCACTCCATTTGGACCAAAACCTTATTTTTTCTAGCCTGACCACTCAGAGAACACTTGGCCGATAGATGGCCAGCAGGCCATTTTCATTGGGTTGGCCATACATCTTCATGGCCGGCCGGCCATGTTTAGCGCAACAGATATTTTGCAGCAGCCACCTGCTCCCATGCACATGCTTTGGACTAGTTATCCCTTTTGCAGATATTTCTGATGTGAGAAGCTGTTTTTTTTAGTAAATACAACACACACCTCATGGTTTGGGGTTAGAAAAATCCTCCAAGAGCTTATAGCTTGCACAACCATCTTCTATACCCTCTTACAATATACATACACTGTAGATACATCTTATAAGCTTGAACTTGAAGTTTTTGCTGAGATTTTAAATACAATTTCAGCTCCTTAAGAGTGCTTAGTTTGTAGTTTGTTAACTAAGAAGTTCTTCATCTCTTTCAAGAGGTAAACTTTAAACTTTTTCACAATCTTTTCTCTATTTTTTCCTTGTATTTACATATACTGATTTCAGAGCTATTTTAAGCTAAAAATGTGATTAATGCTTTGTCAAAGGTGAGTGAGCTAGCCACCCTTCCATTGGCTAGCTCACTAGTTGTCCACCATTTGCTTTCTTTTCACTTCCCTTGGTTAAATTTCAATACCTTTGTAACACTGTTTTAGAGTTGTTTTTGTGTGATATGACTTAAATATGGACTTATAAAAGGGTCCTAGTCCTCCCCGCTACATGTGCTTTTACTTCCTATGCTTTGAATATCATATTTGTGTTGTTGTAAGTCCTCTCAGATTTGGCGTGTTTAGGATATAGCGGCCGATCCGTTGAGCCGATTGTTTTTGGCTTTCCTTATGTAACTTGGAACCTTGTGGTCATGGAAGGATTAGAGCTTAGGCTTAGCCACCCCGCCACAAGTTTATTTGTCTAGTGTAAATTTCTTGCTTTGATATTCGTGTTCTCCACCTTGAAGCTAGGTAGCAGTTTTCATGTTCAAAGTGTTGAAAAACTCTCTTGTCGATCATTTTCGAATCATGGAAATAGATGTCTCATCCTTGTTCCATGACAAAGAGGAGTTATCAACATCTTTGGCAAGTTGTGTGTTTAAGCTTTGTTAGATAGCTTGCTTTTTGTCTTTTTTTTCCTTACTTGCTTTGTTACTCCTAGAGAGCTCTTTATTGAGAAATGTTGAAAACTTTCTTCTAGTTTTGCATTGTAGCATGGTTATGGATGTTTTATCCTTATTCCATGAGTAGGGAGATGAGTTGACAACACTTCTTGAGTTATTATTTTTTGTTTTGGTTGCTCCATAATCATCACATACTAGCTTGTGATATTTGATGATTTATGAAGCATATCAACCCCTTTCTTGAATACATTTCATTATAAGAAGAAGGTAACTTTGTTTTTGTGTTTAGCTAAGTCTTCTCCTATTGCTCTTATGATCATCATGCAACAAATTTACAATGATTGATGGTTTGGAAAGCAAACCTACTCCCCCCTTGAAAATCCTTATGATAGGAGGGGCAGGAAGGATGAACAACTTTTGGAAACTCTTTGTTGTGATCTGTTCCAATTTTGTTACGGCAGGGTATTCTTCAGAAACAGTGGCCAGCCGACCATTACTCTGTACGGCCAACCACTGCATCAGGCCAGCCTGACCAAGCATTTTGTACGGCAATGATGATTTTATAACAGAACAGAGCAGATCTTAGGGCCAAAATAGAATCATTTTTTGGCTGTAAACAAGGCAAGTTCTGGCAGTAAACAGAGAGGTTTCCAGAGGATGTTCTTGGTTATGCACATGTGACTCGCCACTCATTTGAGTCCACTAGATTAGTGGCTTTGATATTTGTAATAATTTGTAATTAATTAGTTGCTTTCATTCTGACTTGTAATAAATAATTAGTTCATTTATTTGGGTTTATATTAATTAGTTAATTAGGCCATTCAGACCTTCTTGTGCGAGGGAAAATTTGTAATATTTGTATGTCTTCCAACCCTCGTTTCTTTCTCCTTTTTATTTACACGCTTACCTTGGTTGTATATAACATCATGTTTTCGTTTCGTATCATTGCCATGCTTTGCATCCATTTTTGCGTTATCACATGCTTTGAGTTAGTTGCTTTCTTGTATGTGTTGCATTGGTCATATGCATTGTTAGGGTCATACATTTTTTTAATTGCTTTCTTTTTCTTTGGTTTATCTCAGAGTACTAGGTGAGCATTTTTTAGCTTTGGCATATTCATGTGTGTGATTGTTGCCATCCTTAGCACCTTACTGTGAGGCTACGTGATTACTCGAAATAAACTGTTTGAATGCCTGTGGATGAAGGTTATTTTTACTTGCATTGGGGATGATTTTGATCAAATGTATGCATGAGCTCATTTCTTTCCTTTTGAGTTGTGTGCACTCAAAACTCTTTAAAAAATCACATAAAATCAGGTCATTTCCAAAAGCAAGCGAAACAGTCTATACTTGTATGCCTCACATTGTAAGTTAGCATAATAAAATCAGAACAAGAGCATATAATGTTGATAAAATTCACATCATGATTAGTAGAGGCTGATCTTTGATCGGGTGAGTGAGGTATTGTAGCTAGTTTCTCGTGCTCCTCGGAGAGGTTTAGTCTCTTCAGATACGATAGCCCTATAGTTCAGACTCTCGTGGTTCTGAATCTGGTTTTACAAGTGCAATGTGACACAGAAAAATACAAAAGAGTCCAAATC